TAAACACAATAAATATATGACATAGTTGGATGAACGGAAACAGCTTAAGGAAATAAAGTTTTCTGTGTATACTAAATATATACAACAACAGTAAAGTCTTTCTCCCACTTCACAGTGTCAGCTAAGAATATATATAAATTGTTTGCTAAAAGCAACTTCAAAGACACTTTGTAGTTGGCTCATGCTATCATATGAAAAATTTAAAAAAGGGGGCAAATAGGATTAAGAAAGACCGCACACCTTAGGCACAAGCGTTAAACTGCATACCTGAATCGTGGAAAATATGCACTATTTATGCTTTGCGTTAAGTTGACTACATTTAATTCCTCCAATGATCTGTCCCCATAAAAATTGCGTATCGTGGTTAAAGGTAGCTCGGAAAAGTTCCAACATGAAAATATGACTGAATAAAACTTTGAGAAAGCAAATGCAATTTAATGAAGCGAGTAACCCACTTGAGATCAGACTCAGCAGATTCTGATTTATAAAGTGGCACCTTAACCGCATACAATGCGCAGGGCCTGTTATAGCAGTATTTTATGCCAAGCTTTCTCGGTTCAGCTGACCACCCCGCAAAAACTAAATGCTGATCGATGCCTTCCACTGGCGGAGCCCAAACCACCTGTCCTACACTCAAAGACTTCTCAATTCCTTTAACAGCATGCACCTTGCCACTGTTATATGCAGGGAAATTTAGTGAGGGTTCTTCAACTGCACAAAAACTCTTTATTGTGCCATGGCATTGATTAAAATAGAAAACTATATATGAAAATGGAACCTGTTAAGATTGATCACAAAAAGAGCAGGCTGCCTTTTTCCTGCATAGCATTCCCCCCATTCTTCCTCCCAATCTCCTTGACCTTTCCAGCTTGTGCAGTCCTTATCTTTCGTAGCATCTTTCTTGTAACCCTGATAATCAAACGAAGGCTTGCAGGGAGATGGCTCCTCAGCAACATAAGCGATAAGAGATTCATCAGAGTTCCAAGAGATTCTCTCAAACCTATATCATTAAGAAAGGTTTCAACCTTGCTAAGTTTGCAGGGATAATAGCTAACAGTAAAGTTAAATATAACAATGCTGCTGCAGCTGCAAATGCTACTACAGCCAAGCAATGATGCTCTTACAACCAGTTCTAGATTCACATTCATGAAGGAAAAAGTTCAGCTTAAGTTACTTCTGGATCAATGACTGTTAAAATAGTACTTCCCAAACTTTATGGTTGGAGAAAAGAAAACAGAAAGATTAATTAAATCATTTACCATTCATCAGCATACACCGAGCCATGAGTTGACTGGGGGATCTGGAACTCCTCCTCCAACTGAGATGAACTCCATATTTCAAATTGCGTGGGAGATTCATTTTCAGAATTTCTAATCACAAGAAGCTTTGAACCTGATGGTGAGGGAACAGTTATAGACACTCCTGTCATCTCAACAGGAAATGGGGCCCACTGGAAGTTGACATTATTATTACTATCTATCGAAATACTAGAGGAAAGCATATACTTCCGTTTCTTGTTTGCCAAAAGATTAGGTTGGCTAATTGAAAACATTGCCTGAGACCCTATTCCTGCAATAATCTCATAAGCAGAGGGATCAAAGATAGCCTTTTTGTTTCAAATATAAAGAGAATACATAAGATAAAGAGAAAGAAACGTTAGCTTTCGTACCACTTTCAGACTTAAAAACCCATGCCTTGTCAATGCTGGAGATACTAGTAAACTCTTGAAGTAATTTAGACTGGGAAGCATAGTCTTCTTCAGTGGCTTCATCTTGCCCAATTGGAAATTCCTTCAATGGACCAGCTTTGGAAGAATCCATGGCCAAAACAGCTGGCAGATGTTTTCTACAAGTAGGATGGATAGGAAAATCACAAGGAAAGATCCTACAGAAAACTAAGCAGAAATGTTGACAACAGGAATGTGTTTTACATATTAAAGTAGGAAATTTTTTTGTCAATTGATATAATCCTTTATACAAAAAACACCCATTACCTGTAACTCAATAAAAACTGGCACTGTTATAACATTAAGAAACACCCATCTTATTCCACTCCACCATCTTATCCAAAAAGAAATATGATATGGTACTAAATTTGAATTTCATCAATCAGGTTTTCAAAAAGCACAGAATACAACATAATATCCAAGATATCTAGGTCTCAAGAATAGTTCCGATGAAGAATCGTGATCAAAAGACGCATAGGAGATTGAATGTGAAACATTTGAACAACAGATATGATTTCGATTCCAGTTTAGAGTGTCAAATTACTTTACATTAACTATAGACTACCACAAATGCATATTTTTTTATATTACTTGACTACAGATTAAAATCACAAACAAGTCCCAGAAACAGGCATATGGTAGCAAAACCGAAATGATTTCAATTTCCACCTTTTGCAATCATCCTTGCATTAGATTTGAACTATACTACCTCTCAATAACACAAGTCTTCCAGGCTAGAAACAAAAGATTTCTTAAGCAAATCCGAATACCCAAAATCAATCATTTCAAGATATTTTCACTTATTATCCATTCCAAAGACGCTATTTATTATAATCATCCCATCAATTAAGAAATAAAAAATCCATCCTCTTTTGTATCAAACAGAGTCAGTACCAGATGAATACTCAAAACTAAAATTTAAACTTGATATTTCACTCCAACCGATATCAAACAGGTATAAAAGAGACTGAACAAAAGATAGCCATCAAGCAGTTTACCATCAAAACAAGAACAAATCCATCTCTTTACGGGGGGGGGGGGGGGGGGCAATGTGAAAAGGGTAGAGGGAGCGAGAGCTCACATGTTTAAGACTGAGAGACGACGTTGAGAAGAGAAAGATGAAGGAGAAAATCGAGGAGAGGCTGCTAAGGTTACCGAGCAAGTAGATAGACTGATGGCGCTGTTCAAGGATGCTATTGCTAAGGTCCTTCTCATTTCAAGATTCCACTTTTTTTTTTTGTTCGTCCTACCAGTAGTATAATTTTTAAATAAAAAAATTAAAAGGGTAAACTGCACCATTTCTCTTCGAATTACTCCTATTTTGGTTACTACATATATTATTATTATTATTATTATTATTATTATTATATGACGTGTCATTTTATTATTATTAAAATATAAAAAATTTAAAATAAATAATATTTATTTCTCCATCATCCGTAACATCACCACTATCTCTTCTCATCACCAACGATAACTGTTAGCCTTCGGAAACTACACCATTTCTCTTCGAATTACTCCTATTTTGGTTACTACATATATTATTATTATTATTATATGATGTGTCATTTTATTATTATTTAAATATAAAAAATTTAAAATAAATAATAAAATAATATTTATTTTTCCACCATTTGTAACATCACCACTATCTCTTCTCGTCACCAATAATCACTGTCAGCTTTCGGAATCGGTAATCATTTGATCCTAAATTGAATCGGGAGACTCGCTTTAACACGTTGAATTCAAATCTAGTGATTGTTTCACAGAAAAATGTCTCGAAACCCGTAAATCTTGACTAAAATATTTCGGTTTACTCAATTTTGATCTCTTATTCGTTGACTTCGAAGCATGTTCTGACAAAATGGAGGTCGAATTCAGACTCAAGGGGTCGAGGAGAAGCGACTCATGAAATGTGGGACCGAACAACCACCATCTAAGGCGGTCAATGGCGGTTGACGTTTTAGTTTTCTCACTTTTGATTGGATTCGGAGTTTGTTCCGACAAAATAAAAGTCATATTCGGATTCAGGGGTCGAGACGAAGCGATTGATGAAATCTGGGATTGAACAACCACCATCTACGACCGTCGAAGGTAGCGTCCAAGGCCGACAAACAATGGACGACTACCATCTATTTTTATTTTATATTTTAAATAATTTTTATATTAATTAATAATAAAAATATTATGTCATATCAAAATAATAATAAAATAATTCAGAGAGACTAAAATATGAGCAATTCAAAAATTAAAAAAATTAAAAGTATAACGAATGAAATAAGAGAGAAAAAAAAATACACTGAAGAATTGTGTAACTTACTTTTCTTATTTAAAATGATATCTTAAAATATTATTTTCAATTTGACATTTAATTTTATTAATTATTAAAATAAGAATTTTTATTAATTGAATGTGTTACGTAAGTAGATGTATATTCAATAAATTATGATTTTATAAAAAAATAATAAAATATATCTTATATCAAATTTAAATAAACAGATTCAATTTTTAAATTTGGAGCACTTAAAAAATATTACTACTGAGATCGTTCTTTCAGTTCTTAATTAAGTATTTGAATGTATCGAAGATTTATATAGTATTTTAAATTTTTTTAAAAAAATTAATAGTAATGAATAATGCTCTAAGATAAAATTCATCATAAATCACTCAATTATTTATTTAATTTTCCCTTGAGATTATGAACTTTTCTATTTTTTTACATGAATTTTAAAAAATATTTAAATATAATTTTAAAACATACATCAATTAAGTGATTGAAGATAATATTTATTTAAATGCATTATCATTGTCGTCCGGTCAGCTCCTGTTTGTACTTATGCACGTGCAAATGTGTATTTGACACATAATGCAAACAAATAATATATTTTAAAAAAGGGCTTCATATTAACCCTTTAACGCAAATCATGCAAAATTGTAGAGACTACATCCTAAATTTTATGATAATAGATATACCAAAATTATAATTTAACCTTTATAAAACACTATCCACAATATCAATGTCCCAAAAGAATATAAAATAGCTTCACCGGTGATCATAATGAAAAAAGCAAAAACATTTGTCTACTGTACTGCAACAAAATTTCACTAATTGTTCAGCCATAACCTCGTATCTTATTGCTGCAACATAGCTCCCTTGATCTTCACTCGGATAAGTGCCCGATGCCGCGATGTTATATATGTAATCGACGCTAATATATTCGATTTTACTTATAAAACCTTGTTTTCATATGTTTGAGATCATACCTTTGTCCAGGTACCATTGGTCTACATTGCCGAATGACTAAGTTTGAGAAGGTGCAGTTTCACCGGTTTCATCGGCAACAGGCGGCGGAGTAGGGGATGAAACAGCCGAAGCCGGTTTTGTTGCAGTCGGCATGTACCTCATAAACACACTATCTTTATTTTTCTTCCACCATTCTCCTGCCTGTTGTTCAATGAACTTCCTTTTGCTGCAAGAAATGTTGGGGGTCAATATAAGGCATTGAGATTATTAGCTGCTTTTCATGCATATCGAACACGGACTCGAGTTCGAGTAACATAGTTTTTTTTTCACATGACACAACAGATTTAGTCTAACGGATATGTTATGATCAGAAAAATACCTGAATCTAACTCGTTTGAAGATCTTTACACCATTGCTGTGATAAGTGTAAGTGATATAGACTCCGGGTTCGAATTGCTCGGTAATTTCTTTTCCACCACCACTAACCGCTGAAGCCTCTGATGATCTCGATGCATCGATGTTACCTTCCATAGGTGAAGACTCTGAGCTTGAAGGCAGAGAAGAAGCTTCAGATGTTTCGAGTCGGTTTACCAGGGCCTCGGCTCGAGTTTGCACAGCTTTAAAGTTTTCGCTTTCAGAAACTTCAGGAGGCAACTTCTCTTTTATTTCCATCAACTGTTGAACCATTTTGAATTGTATAATCAGTGATTTATATCTAATGGAAAAAATGAAATGTTAAGTGAACTAAATTGTACCTGATCTGTGATGAATTTCACAAGTGCCTTGGCTTCTTTAGACTTGGATGATTCTTTTACAGCATATGAAGTGGATTGTTGAAAAAACTTTTGTAGTTTCAGAATCTCCCCGTCTTGTGAATCAGATTTCTGCTGCATACTTTTGATCTGAAATCGATCGAAAATGTCGAAAAAAGAATTATTTTTTATGATCGGCTGAAAATGAACATGATGGAATAGCAAAAGGGTATATCAAAGTACTTGATTTTGCAATTTAGACACTTCTTGGTTCAGAAGTTCATTTGATTTCCTTAGGCTTTCGATAACATTCTTCGAAAATGGAGTCGTGGAAGAGCATGGAGGGGTTGATCTACTCGAGTACGGAGAAGAAGATCTCGAATTGATGGGGGAAAGATGTGGTGGTGATGGTGGAGGAGAAGGTTTGAAAACACTTTGAATAGCAGTGAGTGAACTTGGAAATGCAATATCTTTAACCTGTAAAAGTGATGGAACTTGTGAAGCTCGGACTAGAGACGTAGAGTGGAATTTGGCCCCGGGTTTTCCTGACCTGATCTCGCAGTACTTGACCGGTTCCATTCTGGGATATAGCAAGATCCTAGAAGGCCTTACGTCGATCCTACATGATCTTTCCCTACCATCTATGGAGGAGCGGGGGCCGACCAGTTTTCGACTCACATTTGAAGTATTACCAGCTTCTGCAGCTTTAAGTTTTGCATAGCAAGAATCGCAAACACGGTGCGGTTTTCCCGGTGTCGGAGCCAATGCCGCTTTCAGTGCTTTCTTGGAACTACAAGCATGGCAATGCACCATCCCACAGTTATAACAATTGTGTCTCTTTTTAGTAAAGCCAAACGCTTGCCAGCAGCCGGAGCAAACTGACTGGTCAATACCAGAGATCCATTTATGGATGCATATACTGGAAGTGAAATTCGAGCCACATGATATATTCTTGACATGCTTATCCCTCAATGCTTCAACCAATGTTGGAGTTTTTCTATCTTCTATGTCACCATGTCCCAATCTTCCATTGGCACCTCTTCCCCAAGTGAATACTTCGCTTCTCGATGTCAAGACGGCGACATGATATGCCCCACAAGAAATTTCTTCGACAAATTCACCTACCAGTTTTTCTTGCACCAGACATGGTAGCTTTCCATCGGAGCTTGGGTTGCCTAGTTGACCATATGCAGTACCACCCATGGTAAAGACATGCCCTGATGTAGTAAGTGCGACAGTAATGGTATGTCCGCAAGCTAGCTGTTGGAAATTGTAATCGATTAGTGATGAGACGAAGGTCGGAAGTAGATAAGTTTCCTTACTTCCATGACCTAGCCGGTGTTTGTCGCCATCAACCCAAGTGAACAACTTTCTTGATGATATGTTAGCACTGGTCTGACCCATGACCTCCACAATGGCTGCCGTATGCCATACACCACAGGCGACTTTAACAGTCTTTAGTCCACTCAACATTTCAACTTGCTTCAGATATGTAACACTTTCTCGATCTCCATGGCCCAAAACACCGAATTTTCCATCACCAAATGTAAATAGCTTCCCGTCCGAAGTTGCCAGAGCTGAATGCCATGTGCCACATGCAATCGATAAGACTTTTAGACCTTCTAATGTACCCAAAACTCTTTTCGGAATCCAGTGGCTCACGTCCGTTCCATGACCGAGGATTCCAGCATTATGAGTACCATCACCCCAGGTGAATAAATCACCACAAGCGGATACAGCACATGTATGACACTCTCCAGATGCAACAAATTCCACATTAGTTAGCGCCAGGAACTCGACTAACTGGGGACGGCTCAAGTCTTTTTCAGTTCCATGACCGAGCCTCCCACCATGTTCCTCACCCAAAGTGAAAACTTCACCTTGCTTTGTTAAAAGAGCCACATGCCTTGACCCGCAAGCTATCTGAAGAACATCAAGTACTACATTTGATTTTAAGGGCTTCGGAGTTAGGACATCGATTTTTACCGGGACTGAGCTTGCGGACCCATCCGGCATAAATCCGTCAGACCAAACTGCTCCCCATACATAAAGATCACCTAATGATTCTATATCATCTGGACCTGCAGATCCACTGCTCGCACAGCTAGGTGCGCTTGAAACACTAAGTCGGACACCGTCTCCACCATTAGATCTCAGCTGCATGTTTGCCCTTTCTGACCCCACATCTGATCCTCTGAAATTGATAGACACCTTGCTGGAAGAAATACTACTGGTGAAATCTAGAGCTGGGTAGCCATTCCGAATGAAATATCCTACTTGGAGCTGTCATAAAGATGCTGAAGTTAGCAAGTGAAATATCCTTGAGCGATGTGTATGCAGAAAGGTGCACTCACATTGCTTAGATCACTACCGGTTCGTCTATCACGGCTCTTTCCGATCAATTCCTTGAGTCCCGATAACCACACTTCTGCCTCAACTTTATCCTTGCAGATCTATGGATGTAAGCAAATGCATCATCAATCTGGTAAATGGTGCTGAATATGAATAAATAGCTTAATAATCTAAGTTACTCTGAACTTGGAGGGTCACATCTTGATGCAGGGGGATCCGAGACAGATGATGCTGAGCTGTCAGATTGCACATTGATGGCGCTGAGATACCATGAATTGGCAGATCAGCGCAAAGGCGGAAATTGATTGTGACATGTTCCTCATTGGAGTTGTTTTGAGTATGTTTCAGTCTTTTGGCCATAACTTTGGCTACAGGTGTCAGAATCGCGCATAAGACCCCAATCCGGAAAGCTCTTTTCGACGCGCACGCTCTCCACATCTATGCTCCATGTGGCCTTTTTTTAAACCTCAAATTCTGCCGTTTTCCACTCCGAATCACTAGAATTAGATATTTTTACTATTTATGGTAATATTTCGATTGGCAATTAGGAAGTTAATTTAAATCCGATTTAGGCCGGATTTTTTGGAGATTGCTTATTTTATTTCGAATTTTAATTTAGAGTGATTTTCGGGATTTTACTATTTTTGGCAAAATTCGAATAAAGACGATTTTTTATTATAACAGTCCGGCTTGTGGACTGATTTTGGCATTGTTTAATTTGAAAATATTTTATTAAACCCTAGAGACTTTTTTTCTCTGAATTTTTTTGGGCGAATTTTCTCTTGTGAATCATCTGTTGGAGCGCTTGCAGGATAATCACTATTCTGTCTGGCGTCAGTTGGTATTAGAGCTTCAACATCTTCTTGGAAAATTTCACCAGTTTTATTAAAAAATAAAAAATATTTAAATTATAATGAAAATTTATAATTATAATTATAAACTAAACACATAGATATTTTTCCATAATCATTAACACAAATCTAGACACTTAAGATCACACAAAGACCATAGAAGGAAAAAGTTAAAAAAAATTAACCAAACAAACTCAAACAAAAGATAGATACGAACAAGTCTGGTCGCATTAAAAAAAATGATCAAGTTATTGAAAGACCACAGAGAAACGACAAATCAGAGTCGATCTGTAGATACTCATTTTGTCTAGGGATTCCATTCGAGCTTTGATTGGGTTTATATATTATTATAATTAGTTATATATTTAGTGTTATATTATTGTTATCCATTAAGTAGGAATTATTAGTTACAATATTAATATTAGTTATACTCATAGGTTATGGTGCTTATAATTAAATAAGTTAATTATTGGTTTTGATTATATGTTGTTATTAGTTATATTCATGTGTCAAACGTACCAGTTAAAAAGGTTAGTTATTAATTACGGCTTTTAACTAAGCGAGCGTGTGTTTGTATATTATATGCATGTTATATCGAGTATATAAATAAATAAGTAATGGTATATATATATATATATATAAACAACAAATATTAAATACAATACTAATTAAATGTTTATTTTATAGGCCCAAAGTAGTTACAAATGGCCCAACTGAAACAGGCCCGAATCAATAGTAGTTCAGAAGTTTAGGGTTTGAGAAACCCTTGCTATATCAAGCCTCCTTTCGGTGTATTAATAATAGTTATTATATATATTTTATTTTTATTATTATATATTCTATATACTTTTTCCCCTTAACATTTTATTTATATGTATATACATTTTATTTATTCACTTACTTTTTTTTATTTTTATTATTTATTTATTTTTTTATCTTACATTTATTTATATATTGTCTTTATTTTCTTTATCTTATGTATTTTTTTATTTTCTTGATTTTCTTGATTTTATATTTTATATTTCTTTTGTTTTATTTTATTTTATTCATTTCCACTTTTTTCCTTCTAACATTTTTATCGTTTAAGGGTATTTTAACCAATCAGAGGTAAGTTTTGGATCGTTATTTTACCTTTTAATTTAAACTTTCAACTTTCTTAATTAAAGACAACTGGAAATTACGTAGTATCGAAAGGGTAGTTCAAGGGTGCTAATCCTTCCTTGATTGTAACTAACTCCCGAATCCGACACATATTTAGAAAGACGCAGATCAAGTAAGAAATAAGGTATTCGATCAACCCATTTGTTTTAAAATAAATTATCGGTGGCAACTCCAAACCATTTTCCTAAGTCGAAGCCTAATTCCGGGCCCACCCGAAATATGGTTACGACAGCTTGGCGACTCCACTAGGGACAGGTAAGTGAGTCAGACTAAGGTAATTTCCAGTTATTTTTTTAATGAAAAGGGTAAGTTTAAATTTTAAGGTAACTTTTCGATCAATTTTACTTGTGATTATTTTTTTTCAAATAAATAGTTGTACTGACGGTTTTCTCAATGATTTCAACCCTTAAAGTTTTTTCCACTTAAGGCTCTAAACCTGAGCTCCGAACCTGTTTTAAGTGGGGGTGAAAGCGACGCTCTCGTGAGAATTTATTCTTCATATGGGCCTAGTAAGTAACCTTCGGGATTCATATACCTTATGCTTTCGTGGGAATTTATTCTCCGTATGGGCATAAGAGAATGTTTCCTCTCGAGTTTAACTTAGTCTACACAAGCTTGTAATGGGATTAGAACTAAGGGTCTGGTAAGCCTAAGGGGGCACCAGCAAGGAGAACTCGGGTACCATTTTTTAGAAGCTAAACCGGGAGACTATGGAGAATTGATCCTACCGCAAAACCCCATTTCAAACCCTATGATGTTTTTACCCTAATCATGCAGTTTACTTTTTTTACCTTTTTTCGTTATTATTATTCTTATTTTACTAACTTTTTGCTTTCGTGTTTTGTCTTTTTTAGCACTTGTATCATAAAAAGAGGTTATTGATCCCTAAAATAGTGTTTGTTACACACAAATAATCTGAATTAATGGATAAAGGGGTTGTAATGCAAGAGCTAATAAAGGTAGAGGTAGGACTATGGTCCGTGAAGACTCAGAAAGAGAAGGGAAATAGTCTTCAGGGAAGCTATGTGTCAGAATTGGGTAGCAACGCCTCTGTCAGCCTAAAACAGAACGATGTTCAAGAGCTATAGAGCATTTGGGATAGCTAGAAGGGTGACCGAAAACAGAAGTTCAGTCAGCGGTATGGTGATATCGCACTCCTACTCCATGTAAAGGTAGATGAGCCTTTAATTAGAGCCTTGATTCAATTCTGGAACCCGAGGTACAACTGTTTCACCTTTAACCGGGAGGACATGGTGCCCACTATCGAGGAGTATACTACGCTGCTACACTGCGAAAGTATTAGATTGGAATGAGTCTATATCAAACATATCAAAAGTCAGCCCTTCAAAAATGGGTTGGCTAAAGTTACAGGAGTAGATGAGAAATGGGTAACTGACCGGACTCAGCGCAGAGGCATCGGAGAATGAATTCCTTGGTCTGACATCAAGCTACTGATGAAGAATCACCCTGATGAATGGAAGGCTGTAGACCTTTTTGCATTGGGTCTTTACGGTTTGGCCGTCTTCCCAAAGACTCTGGGGTGCATTAATGCAATTGTGGTGGAACTATTTGAACAACTCTTGAGGTGAGTAAATTCAGCACCGACTATTTTAGCTGAGACCTTCCGCTCTCTCAACCACTGCAGAAGGACTGGAGGAGGAAGGTTTATTGGGTGTGCTCAGCTTCTTCAAGTCTGGATTCACAACTATTTCTGGAAAACTAAAAGGGTTGCCTATCACCGATTCAGTACAACTTATTCACCTTTAGGTGAATTCATCACTTTGAAATGGCATGAAGGTGCCTCGAAGGAAAAATGGATGAAGGTCTTCACACATCTTCAAGACTGGGATATTGCCTGGAGAGCCCATTGGTTGACCCACAATGACATTCTCTTATATTGTGGGGATTCAGACATTATGACACTGCTTGGACTTTGAGGAGGATTTGGATATTCTCTGCTTCTAGCACTTTGACATTTTAGGGCATGTCAATTTGTCCAAGTGACGTATGGACTAGCTGGATCAGAATTTGCATACCATGGCGACAACTATAAGAAAGACTTAAGGAAATAGCCAAGTCATGGAAGAAAGTGTTTCGAATGGATTTCGTGGCTGCCAAATACATACTCACTCCTGACTATTTAGAGTGGTGAAGATTGAGAAAAAACGACAATATCCCAGTGCCAGATTATGAAGACACCAGGACCATGGAGGAACATCTCAGGCCTGTCCCTTCCAAATTTGAGATAGCGAAGGATGAGTTTGAAGCTGTGAAGAATGAGCTGAAGCAAAAGGTAAGGGAACTTGAGGTTGAACGCTACTAGTGGAAGATAGATGTCGATACTCAGAAAGATCGGGAAAACAAGCTGGAGAAAGAACATAAGAAGATCTGCTTTAAGCTTAAGGACTTGAGAAAAGGGTACCAAGAGCAAGTCCAGAGTAACTCCTATCTGAAAAGGACTTTCGAGTACTAGAAAGACGAAGCTCACAGCCTGAAAAGGAAGTTTGAGGGGCCTGATGAAAGAGAGACCCTGAAAGAATAGTTGAAGACTGCTCAGAGGCGCTTGATAGATAGCCACCATCAGAACAAACACTTGAGAATCCAGGTAGCTAATATGGAGAAATCTCTTCAGAAACAACAGGAGCAAGATGGCAAAACCATAGCTGAGTTAGAAGCTATTGCGGATGGATTCATGAAGCAAGCAAGTGAGCTCCAGATAGTGCCCTTTGATGGAGGTTTACAGTGGTGTTTCCGTTGGGAAGAAGCTCAACAAAGTGTGAGGGCCAGAGATGCAGTTATCTGTGATTTCCTGGACCAAGTACAGAAGGCATCCCTTCATTTGCATGGCTTTGCAAGGGAAGCTGGAGTGGTTCGACAAGGCATCCAACCAGTGACAGATAAAGGAAGAAGACTTGTCAACCTATTAGAGGATGTTCGGGGTCTAGAGGATTTAGTTCAGATCTACCTTTGATTGTTTTTATTTCTCTTAAAAGATAAAACACTT